TTCTACATACATGTAAGGTCATGATAGTGAGCACTGGTGGCCTAGGGGATGAGGGTTGTGCTGCCTTATCAAAGGTGGCAGGTTCGAATCTCTGAACTTCTTCTCAGGAGAAAAATGAATAATCTCTTCCCATGCAATTTACAGCCTCTGAAAACCCACTGGAGGGTCAGCGATGAGAGTCTGTGAGTCTGAAGGTTTTGCATGTGTCTCTGTGTGCCAGATATATATGTACATACATATATAGACAAACACACACGTATACATACATAGATACATATCAAGACTACCCTTCTGCCCAAAGCATTTCGGCCCCTAGAGCTACCTCAGTAGACACCCTTCAGCCCAGGGTTCAAACACTGCAGATTATCCCCTCTGAAACGTACAGTTGACAGCTTCTTAGAAGAGATGCTGCACTGTAGGAAGGTGCTGTTGCTGGTGCAGCCCTGTGAGCAGACAGAACTATCCCAGAGGATTTTCAGGGCAGAATCTTTACAAGAGCAAGTTGCCAGGCCTTTCTTCTGCTGCACCACGGGGCAGGTTTTAACTCCCAACCTTTCCAGTAGCAGCCGAGCTGGTAACCACTGTACCATCAAGGCACCTGAGAAAGATCCTGGGAGTCTGCTGTCCCTGTGTTTGGGCCCCAGATCTGCCGTCTCTGGCTTACGCTAGTTGTTCTAACTTTTAGTGCCTCAGTTTTCCTCTCTATAAGAAGGAGCTAAAGGCAGCCCTCCAGGACTACCGTGTGCACCAGCTCTAAGGTCACGGTGGCAGCGTTTGGTACACTTCCCACATGAGCGATGCGATTATTATCCTCTCGTCGCCCTCGTCATCCTCAACTCGTCTCATCCCCCCTCTCTTCCATCTTCTCAGTTGTGCACCTTCCCTCTCTGCCTCCCTTCCAATTATGCCCGCTAATGGAGTCTTCCTTCCGCCGTGTGGAAGGCTGCCGTTGCCCAAAGCATTTCCAGCTGGGCTTTTGCAACAACCCACGGAAGCCCGCCCGCCTTCACCCCGAGTCACGCTCGCGTTTCAAGGGTCCAGTTACAGGTCCATCTCCTTCGATTATCAGCAATAGGTTAAATGCCCCGGCCTTCGCCCCCCGCGTGCCACCCCGCCTGGCTCATCAGGTTTCCATTATGTGCCGAGGAGCAGAAGCTGGGCCTCTGGGTTCATTCTCCAGCCCTGGCCCTCCAGCTAATAGAACCTCAGCCACTCTCGGGAGCTTAAAGCTCCCTCTCTCTCCAGGCAGAGCAGGCCAATTTAAATGCCACTCTCAGCCCCTGTCCTCATGCTGCGGGCTACCAAGTGCAGCAAGGAGCTGGAGCAATAAAACCTATTAGGTCTCCTTTGTCCCATCTTACCGTGAACTTCTAAGAAAAAGGCACTAAGAGGATCAGTACCCAGAAAAACCTCCATAATTGTGGCTTCTCCACAGCGAATGAGGACAATTACCAAGGCAACCGGCCAGCCATTCTGGTTAAGGGATGAGGGAGTTGGGCCGAGAAGAGGCTGTTGCAAACCTCTATTGCACTGTAATCAGAGAGTAACCAACATTTTAAAAGGCCCTTGTGTAAAAACAGGAGGGACGAGAGGGGAGGGAAAGAGAAGGGGGGCAAAAATTAATTTCCTCTCATTTCCTGCCTGCTGCAGACATTGATTATGGTCCCAGGGCGAGAGGATGCGCTGTGCCCTTGCACCTGGGGCCCCAGAGCCGCAGCTGAGCGGCCTTGTTGTTGGAGTTTGTGTCTACGCTTCTGTGTTTATGCCCAGCATCTGCGCTGAGTGGCAAAAGATCGAAAAAGCAGTAATTGGGGCGCTCTCACTAGGAGCTGCCTACAGGCAGCTAATTCATGGTGACCCCCAGGTAGAGCAGAAGGAAGTAGTGCCCAGTCCTCTACCCTCACTTCCACTAGGACCCATCGTGACCCTGTCCACCATACTCATCCTCTGTCATGACAATCACTGTGTCAGTCCATCTCATCGAGGGTCTTCCTCTCTTTCACTGGCCCAGCAAGGTCTTTACCCAAGGACTGACCCCTCCTGCCTACATGCCCAGAGTATGTGAGGTGAAGTTTCACCAGCCTCGTCTCTAAGGAGCACTCTGGTTACACTTCTCTCCATTGGCTTGTTTGCTCTGTGGAAGTTCATAGGATCCACCACCACCATAACCACCACCACCATTCAAAGGCATTGACAGTTCTTCTCCAATTGTCATTGTCCGGCTTTGAGATCTATAGGAAGCAACTTAAAATAGCGTGGCTCAGAGCAGATTTACCTGGTCTTTAAAATAGTATCACCTTAAGAACTTGGCGGAGGTGCTTGATGACAGATTTTCCCAGTAGAACGCATCTTTGGGTTTCTTGACTGTCACTAGCATGGATGTTGATTATGGATCCAAGCAAAATAAAGTTGTTGACAACTTCAGTCTTTATCTATCATGACATTGGCTAATGGCCTCCCAGTGGAGATTTTTGTTTTCTTGATGTTGAAATGTAACATATATTGAAGGTTGTAGTCTTTTATTTTCTGCAGTAAATGCATGGCGGTCTGCTTCACTTTGTGCAAGCAAGGTTGTGACATCTCCATAAATGCAGGTTGTTGATGCGTCTTCCTGCAGTCCTAACTCCACATTCTTACGCACACAGTCCAGCTTCTTGAATGATTTGCTCAACATACAGAGTGAATAGGTATGGAGAAAGGATACAACCCTGGTGCACACGTGTCCTTATTTTAAACCATTTAGTGCTAAAGAGTAGGGATGTCAGTTTAAAGATTAAGGTGTTCCTGATTCAAGCCATGGTATTTTCAGTCGTTTCCTATATGTCTGAAAGTTGGACAATGAATAAGAAAATCCAGAGAAGAATCCATGCCTTTGAATTTTGGTGCCCACAAAGAATTTTTAATATCCCGTGGACTGCTAAAAGAGCAAACAAATACATCTAAAGGAAGTGCAACCAGGGTGCTCCTTAGAAGGAAGGATGGTGAACCTTTATCTCATTTTGGGGCGTATTTGCAGAAGAACCATCCCTCCTATCCCTCTCTTCCCTGGAGAGAAGCATCATGCTGGGAGGGGTAGGGGGTCACTGAAAGACAGGAAGACCCTCAACAAGATGGGTTGACGCAGTGACTGTGACAGTGGACTTGAACGTGACCGAGATCTTGAGGACAGTGAAGGATAAAGAGTCAGATTTGATATCATAGAGTTACTGTGAGATGTAGTTGACTAACAATAATAATTTTGAGTACACTAAATTAACGGTCATACAGAAATGAGAGCAGTGTTATTTTTAGGAATCATGGAGTTGATTGACTCATATTGACTCCATGTGAGAACTGCTCCAGAGTTTTCTTGGCTGTAGACTTTACCAAAGCAGATCAGTAAGTATTTTTCTTAATAGGAGGCGAGATGGGTTCGAAATTTCAACTTTTTGGTTGGTAGCAGAGAGCTTAAGTTAAACCACTGTTGTGCCTGAGAAATAATATTCGTAGAGATAATAACAATAGCATCAAGTGTAATGATAATGTCCTGAGTGCTGGTCCCATGTCCATATTACTAAGGAGCAATGATAACAGTTTGAAGTCTAAGGTGTGCCTGATTCAGGCCGTGGTCTTTTCTCCTTTGCAATGCATCTGAGAGCGGGACAATGAATAAAGATGGCAGAAAAAGAATACTTGAGTTGTGAGATTGGAGAAGGTACTAAATATCCCAGGGGCTGCTAAAAGAACAGACAGATATGTGTTGGAGAAGGTGTAACTAGAATGTTCTTTGGAGACAAGGATCTCACATACTTTGGGCATGCTCCATGGAGAGGGACAACACTCTTGGAAAGGTAGATAGATTGACACAGTGACTGCATCAGTGGGCCCAATGTGTCAGAGATGATGAGGTTGGCACAGGGTAGGACAGGATTCAGGTCCATTGTTCATAGAGTTGCTATGAGTCGTACTTAACTCAGTGACACCTGGAAGCAACAACAGTCACATATTAAAGACTTTACGTTCCTAATCTCTATTAAATCTCTAAGATGATATTGTCACTCAGGGTCACCAGCAGGAAATAGCCAGTAATGGTTTGTTTGGGATAAGTCTCTTAGCACAGATGTGAACCAGCAAGGGGTGCCGAAGTTATTAACAGTCAACAATCATGGAAAACTGTTAGTACCCCTCAGCTGTATGGGAGAGTCAGGGAGGGCTGGACCAGGCTGCAGGGGCCACCAGGAGGAACTGTGGTCATGAGGGAGTGCAGCCTCACTACATACAGAACTGTGTGAGGGCAGGTACTAGTAGTCTGTCCTGGTACCCTCCCACCCCTCACCAGTGTCGTCCCTCAGCCAGTCCCAACCGGAAGAAACCAGAGAACAAGGGAGTCTCATACTTCCATCCTTGAAGGCCAGGCTTTGGGTACAGAGCAGGGTTGCTGTGGGGAGGGGTGTGAAAGAGAGAGAGAGGGGGGGGACGGAGAGACAGAGAGACAGGGGAAGGGAGGAAGAGAGAGTGAATGAATGAGAAGGGCATAGAGCAGGCAGAGACAAAAAAGAGCAGCCGTTGCATCATTGTTCTCATCTTCTAAATGAAGATGTTGAGTCCTCAAGAGAAGGATGACCATTCGAGCATCATTCAGCTGGCAAATGATGGGAAGCAGAAATGTGGCTCCAGGCTCCCTAGATCCTTAACACAAAGAGCTGATAAACATATGAGGGATGTGAGCAGTGTAGACAAGGCTGAGCCACATCGCCCCAGCCCCATGGGTGTGAGACGAGAGGTATGTGTTAACCAGAATCACCTAACAAAGCACAGCACTGTTCGTGATGACAATGACTGTATTGGACCAGGTGTGTATATAGAGCCTTAAAAACGTGAACATGCCTGCCTACTTCCCATAGGAACAAACTTACAGTAGCACAAAAAAGATTGCTTCCCCAGTGACTTGTCTCATCCAGCTCAACTAGGGGAGTAGTGCAAACCCATCATCGTGCTTGCTGTATGCATGCTTTATATGGGCGGGGGTGGTTCAGCGGTGGAATTCCTGCCTTCCATGCAGGAGACCTGGGTTCGATCCCCAGCCAGTGCACCTCGTGCTCAGATGGGGCCCATGTGCCAGTGAAGGCCGCCATGTTGCACTGATACCAAACAGGTTTCAGTGGCATTTCTAAAGGGAGACCAACTAAGAAGAAAGGGCTGGCAACCTATTTCCAAAAAAAATTTCCAGCAAATGGAGCCCTGAGGAACAAAACCATCTGTTGGGATGACGCAGAGTCAAGCGGTGTTTTATTCCCTGGTGTGTGGGTTCCCTGTGAATTAGGGGCCTGCCCTGTGGTGATCATTAATGTCATAGGTGCATTAATCCCTTGGGATTGTCAGTAAGCTTATTTTTTATTGGTTGTCATTCAACCATTCATACACATACTGCTTTCTAACATTAATTACAACTAATCAGTACCATTCATTACGCTCCACCAAGTTCTCACTGCGCTTTGCCTTTGCCGTCACCTGCCCATCTGTGCGCTCCTCTGCTGCTCTCCCCTCCCCTTCCTGCCAAGCCTACACTGTTTCTGTCTGTGTATCAACCTCTCCTCAGCTCTTTTTACCCTAATTAGTTTACATCCTGTTCCACACTGTTAATTGTAATACAATATGTTGGATCGTCCATTCACTTCACATTGACCTTCTCTTCACCTATTCTAAGAACATGTTCGTTATCCAGCCATTCATTTCCTGCACCCCCACCACACTCTATAAACATACTATATATATTTTTTTTCACTAGGTTATTTATAAAATTCTAATACTAATTTGAACAAATTTTTTTCGTTTCCCTCACTCCCCCACCCATCAAATTGTACAACCTAGTGATTAATCAATCCCCTCTTCCCCTGCACATCCACATCCTTCTGCTTCCAGCGTCTCGCACCCCTCCTGAATCCGTATACTCGTTCTACAATAACGGTCTTACACTATATTTATCCTTGTGGGACTGAGTTCACCCAGCATAATGCTCTCCAGTCCCTCCCAAGTTAGGTAATAATTTACATAATCATTGCTCCTGCGTGCTGCATAGTATTCCATGTGTGAATGTACCATAATTTCTCAATCCATTCATTTGTGGTTGGACATGTGGGCTGTTTCCATGTTCTTGTGATGGTGAATAATGCTGCTATGAACACTGGTGTACAAATTTCAGTTTGGGCCTCAGTTCTCATATTCTCAGGGTATATTCCAAGTAGTGGAATAGCTGGGTCATATGGCATTTCTATGTTCAGCTTTTGGAGGAAGCATCAAACTGCCTTCCAGAAGAATGGTTGTGCCATTTTACAATCCCACCAACAATGTATAAGAATTCTTTTCTCGCCGCATCCTCTCCAACATCTATGACATGCTGCCCTGTTAAACTTTGCCACTCTTACTGGAATAAGATGGTACCTCATTGTGTATATTTTTAATATAACTTTTAAAGAGTAAAAATTAGGTGAACAAGCATGAGAACCTTAAGTACAAGACACAAGCTGCCAGCTGCACCCAGGAGCTGGTCTCCTTTGACACTTCTTGTCATGAGCATCTGTGCACAGGGCCCTGAGTGACTCGGTACCCCGAAGGTCATCCACTGGACACCGAAGACTTTGTGATAGGGCAGACTTAGTCCCCTTCTGCAAAATTGGACATTTGTTTGCCCGGCTCTCTGGTGAGAGAACTTGTCATTCACTCTGCATGAACTTAGAGCTACAAACCCAGGTGTCTGCAGGAGCCTGGGAAGCTGGGAAAGAGAGGTGGGCTGGACAGGGGTGCCAGTAGCTACTGGACCTGTCAAGTGCACCTACAGGGACAGCCCCAGCCAACGCCGCCCCCCCTCCCCCCAGGCCACCAGCAGAGACCACTAGGCAGCTTTTAGGACCTGGTTTGCTGCTGCTGCTACAAACAGAAAATCCAGAAGTTCAGATCCACCAGCCATCCTGAGAGAGAAAGATGGGCAACTCCGGAAATCCTTTAGAGGGTCACTGTGAATAGAAATCTGTGCCAGTTGGTGAGTTTCATTCTTTTGGAGTCGGGGATATTTTTTGAGTGTCCCAACTTCTATGTGCCATCAAGTCAGAACTGACTCATCGCTGATCATCCAGTGGGTTTTCAGAGGCTGTAAATTGCACAAGAGGAGATTGCTCATCTTTTCCCTGTGGTACAGATGGTGGATTTGAACCTTGTGCCTTTGGGTTTGCAGTACAGCTCCTTAATATTAAGCCACCCAAGCTCCCAGTTCCTTGTGGAGGTATTATTAGAGGCCAGGGGTCTGCTCTGTCTCCTGTGATGACAGGACAGGCCTAGTGGCAGGGACTTGTCAGCCTTGAGGTCAGCAGTGTTCTGATGTAGACACTGCCCTACCTTGGCTCGGTGGTGGCACTGAGGATTGGCAGGAACCCCGCCTTGTGTGTGGCCTCTTTCTGGGCCTGGTCACACCCGGACTTTATCCCCGTCCCATTTCAGGTCTCTGCCTGGTGGCCAGTTGAGAGATGCTTGTTAACACCCACCACTTGCAGGACACGAGAATCAAAACAAAGCCCTCTAAATCAATTGCAGGATTGGGGGGAGGAAAACAAAAAATAAAAGGATATTTCTGATGTTTTTCTAAGCTTTTCATCCTTTTTTTAAAAAAATGGAGGGTCAAGTGGCAACCAAGGATTGAAAGCAAGTGTTCAAAAGCATCACCGGCCAAAAGCCCAGGGAAAAATCAAAACAAACCCAGGCTCTTAGTGTGCGTAATTACGGCACAATCAAGTAATGAAAGGTTTATTAGTTTAATGTGATTCCATCAAGTACCAAAAAGCGGGGAGCAGGGGAAGGAAGAAAGAAAATGGATATGAAGGGGGTGCTGGGTGGGAGAGAGACATAAAAGACAGTGTGGCCAAGCTGAGCAGGCGAAATTAAGATGGGTCTTTAATTAAGCTGTGAGCTCTGGGTGTGGGGACATGCGTGACCCAGGAGGGCAGATTCGAACAGCTCTTCCCAAGACGGGGCTTTGCATTCATTGGCCAAACACTTTCTGAAAGGTTTTTACTCCGGCAATAAGTCACAAACAAAGAGGGTCTGCTTGAGTGACATTGATTAAATCTGTGACAGCTTAGTAAAGCCGCCTTGTTTTTCTGTGTGTCTCACGTCTTCCAGAGTGGGTGGCTTCCTTTCGCTCACTTCAGTGGAAAATGTTTGAACTTTTCTTCTCTGACAGGACCAAGCATATGCAGATTTTATCGTACCTTCATCAAGTCGTGCAACTATCAACACCATGCGTTCCCAAAAGTTCTTACTCATTTCCAACAGAAACTTGGGCCTTTAAGCAATAACTCCCTTTCACCCTCTCCTATCTATGTGTTTGCCTATTCTAGATACTTATATAGGAAGCTCTGGTAGCCTAGTGGGTAAAGAGTTGTATCGCCAGCGTAAAGACAGACAGTTCAAATCCACCACCCGGAAGAGAAAGATGAGCAGTCTCCTCTCGCATGATTTGTTATTGTTATGTGACATTGAATTGCCCGCAACTCATAGCGACCCTATGCACAGTAGCTCTGAAGTGTGCGCTGACCTGAGCCAGTGTCAATAACTCTGACACATCTACCCCCATATCCCCAGTTACCACGTCAATCCATCTCATCTGGGGTCTTCCTCTCCTGCTCTGTCCCTCCACCCTTCCGAGCATGATGTCCTTCTCCGAGGACGGGTCGCTTCTGGCCATGTACCCAAAGTATGTGAGACAGAGCTTCAAAATTCTTGCCACCAAAAAGAAATTTGGTTTCACCTTCTTTAAGACAGACCTATTTTTCCTCCTGATGGTGCATGATATGTTCAACACTCTTCTCCAGCACCACAGCTCAAAGGCATCAATTCTTCTGTCATTCTTAGTCATTGTCCAACTCTGATTTATAGCAAGTCATTGCAAAGATGATGTCCTGGATCAGATACACCTTAGTCTCCAGACTGATACCATTGCTCTTTAGCACTTTGGAGTGGTCCCTGACTGCAGACTTTCCCAGTGCAATTTCTTTTAATTTCCTGACTGTTGGTGCCAAGAGTGTTGATTGTAGAGCTGAGCAATCTGAAATTGTTAACAACTCCAATCTCTTTTCCATATACCAATGTGTTGCCAATTCGCCCAGTGATACTAAGCTTCTACTTGATATTAAGCTTCAATCCATATTGAAGACTACAGTCCTTAACCTTCTGCAGCAAAATCTTCAGTTCCTCCTCAGTTTCAGCAAGCATGGTTGTATCATCTGCCTAACCCCTGGTTGTTGATGAGTCTTTCTCCAATCCTGATATCACACTCCTCCTCATAAAGCCCCACCTCCCAAATGATCTGTTCTGCATATAAATTGAAAAAGGTATGGAGACAGGACATATCTCTGATGCACTCCCTCTGGTGGTCCAGCATCAAGAAGCTGCACTGCAGTCCCAAAGGCACGCGGTTTGAGGCCACCAGCCACTCCACAGGAGAAGGATGGGCAATCTCCTCCCATGTGATGCGATTAACTGCCTCTGAAAACCCTCCAGAAGGTCTGCTGTAGGTTGGTTCGACTCAGCGGTACACAGCAACAACAACAATTCCATTTGTAATTAACTATGCAGTGTTTCCTTGTTCTGTTCTGACGACTGCCTCCTGGTCCAAGTATAGGTTTTACATGAACACAATCAAGTGCTCTGGGATTCCCATTCTTTTCAAGGTTAAGCACTCTGTTATGATCCACACAGGCAAATGCCTTTGCCCAGACCATAAAACACGGACATTCCTATGGTACTCTCTGCTTTTGGCCGAGATCACTCTGATCAAGATGTCTCTAGTGCTATGGCCTCTTTTAAACCCAGCTTGAGTTTCTGGTAGTTCTCTATTAATGTACTATTCCAGTCAGTTTTGGATAATCTTCACCAGAATTTTGCTTGCGTGTGATATTCGTGGTATTGTTTGATAATTTCCACACACTGTTGAGTCACCTTTTTTTCTAAATGGGAATAAATATTCATCTCTACCAGTCAATTGGCCAGGTGATTGTCCTCCAGATTTATTGGCACAACCTGGTGAGCACATCCAGGGCA